ACCAGAGCGTTATCCACTACACCACCGAGCCACGGTAGCCACTTCTTGTGCGACACTAAGTTTTCATGTTTCATATAACACTTTTACTATGCAGTTGTTGATAATCGTCTACGTAATTTTGTTAGTTTTACGTTTTTGATGTGAAAACGTTTCGTATCAAACATGAAGACATAACATTAGTTTATCAACAAAACATCAGAACAACATGGCGGTGGATAAAGTTTTACAAAAATATATTGTCTAGAATGGTCAATTAGCAAGTGATTTACAAATTAAATGCTCCACACAAACATTTCTCATAGTTGAGTATCCGCTGGGAACCACTCCGCCGAGGTCACTAAGCGTGATCTCTGACATAAAGTAGTCATGAAGTGGGTGGGTCTTAACTACCTAAGTTGTTCAGTAATAGTATCCATCGCTAGTTCGCGACACATTTGTGTTAGATAGAGATCGCATCTTGCGATCCAGGTGGTCCTAAGTAATTCAGCTGTTTGACCTGAATTCGTCCAAGTATAACACTGATGAGCTCTGCCCCGAATGAGTGAAATGACAGCAAGGTGGTTGGATCAGTCTGATTTTGTTGTCTGAATAAATATGAAGATCATTAGTAGTATGTTTCGCGAATATGCTGTCTCGCCAGAAAACATGCTGAGAAGAGTCACATCGGCCGCGCCTTAGTGACTGGTCACAATATTGCATCCAGTCATAAAGGAGGTCAACCAGGGCTAAAATAGCACACTTTCTAACTTCCTTACCGAATGACCGCTAGTTTTCTCGAAGTTATACGTTGGTGAAATGACGACGGTTAGTAGTTGATTGGCAATGTGATCGAGTGACTGGTTCATTGTCGACAATGTGACGTTATTGATGATTGGCAAAGGCACAGCTACACTTACTGCAGGCTTTGCATCATCTTTCGTGTTGATGTGGGGTCTTATTTGACATGGTTCTGCGTTCATGCAACCATGCAGGTTGTCCGAAATACATTTTGAATGCGGTCGACTCTGTGAGTGGATCCGTGATTCACTGATTCAGTCATTGAGTGGTTATATGCATTGGTGTCTGATGCGGTTGTTGCTGAATGATCATAGTACTGGTTGGTTTACCTGTGAGTTACTGGGAGGAGTGTATGTCATCGAGTCAGTTAGATAGGGATGATGGTGTTATATTTTGTAATGAAAGTTGGTGAGTGTTAAGTGACTTCATACTGAAGACATCAATCTTTGACTACGTAATAATATGTTTCTTAGGAAACTGGCATGAGATTCAGGTAACTCCCTTGTTTTTTGTTTTCTTACTCATACTTATCCTTCACGCAAAACACCGGCAAACTGTCTAACAATTCATAGTTGAATAAAATGACGGGAGAAAGATCTTGCCTTAATTCGACACATAATCCTAGTGATTAGTGAACTTTACATGATTGCTGGGAGGAGTTTGATAGTTTTGTACCAATTTCCGATTTTATCGATTTTCCAAACATCAATAATAGTAACAATAATACTAATAATAGCAACTGTCGAGTACTGTCGTCCCCACCGGGACTCGGGAACGACCGCCTCAAACGCTAACGCGTTACCCACTACACCACGGAGCCACGATTCCGCTGCTAGCCACTGCCCATTATTACTATACATAGTTAAAAGACAGGCAATATCGAGGCATCCGCATAGGAGCCCATATGCCAGGAGAGACTGATCAATTTGGTCCAATCAACGACGGTGTAATACAAGCATTAACACTGTAATATAATTGTTTCAGAAGTGGGTTGATTTTGGCAATTATTTGCTGCTACGCGGTCAACAGATAGATGTATTCTTGAGATAAGTAAGGTTTTCTTGAGCTTAATGAAAGTGATGATAAGCTTAACTTATCTAGATGGATTATTCTTACGCTATTAAATTTATATATTTCCAGGTAATTTTCCTCGATTGGACAAAAAGAAATTACTGAATATGTAAACTGAAAATCCTTCAATACATTCACAATGATATGTCATGACTTACATTGATGCATGACAAATAGTGTCCGGAGTAATAGTTATTTCCGTCTGTTTTATTTTTTAAAATGAGATTCTTCCCTCTTCAAATTCAGATAAACCAAGCAAGCAGTGATCAGAAAAACAGCAATAATTTTGAACTTCGACAAAACAATAAGAAGACGTAAATTGTCTGAACTGTGTAATGTATTTGCGCAACACATTTCGAACTATCTGATCACACGTACTTGTCATAGGTATTTATATAAAACTCATTAAGATAAGGGGTGAGAAAATAAAAAGGGGTCAGGTAGGAAGGCTGACTTAAAGACCGAATAACAATAAAAATCAATAGAGCGAAAAAATAATAGTACATCGAACTAGGTTTTCAATAGTGTAATTGTTTTCATATGATACCGTCGTTGATTGGACCGAATTGGTCGACCCATCATTAACATAATTAGAACACTGGCAATATCGAGGCATCCGCACAGGAGCCCATATGCCAATAGAGACCGATCAATTCGACCCAGTCAACTACGGTATCATATAAAAACAATTATACTAAAAACTATACCCATCTCACAAGAAGTGGCTATTGTGGCTCGGTGGTGCAGTGGATTACGTGCTGGCGTTTGAAGTGATCGCCCTCTAGTCCAAATCCCGGTGAGGACAACATCACTTAGTGGGAAGCAGTTCACCCAGCTGACCAGTGATTCCCAAATAGGACGAAATGCGCATCGTGGATTCCACTGCTAGCCACCTTCCATCCTTAGGTCTTCAATAGTTGATTTACCAAGGAAGATTTAATGTGACAGCAAATTGTTTATGAACACACAAAGGTGGTTTCAACTTCCTAGTAGCTAAGGCTTCAACAAATTTCAGGATCCCTCCCCAACATGTTTTGTAAATAGGTGTAAAGGAAGTAGCCATATGAATCCTGTGGCCTGTCTCAACGATATGTTTGGGATCGAAGAACTTGACGTCTGCTACCAATATTTATAGGTTCAGTGATTTAATTTGCTTCTGAAGCCACTTTGAATATGTTTCGAGGCCCTTACTTGTATGGATCTATTAGTCCTCCCTATGTTTGTATCACCACATGTACATTTGAATTGGTAGATACAGGGGGATATGACATTGTCATTCATATGCTGTAGGGGTTTAGGGGGATATACGGGATTTATGGTTTCGATTACTCGAACCCTGGCTGCATAGTAAATCCTTCTAACAGCAGCGTTAAGTCTCTGCTTAAGGATTTCACTATGAGAGTCACCTTTGTAAGGAAGGCTGATGAAGACATCCTTCTTTAGGACTGACTGAAGGTCTAGTTTTGACGCTCTGATAATTTTATTATGCCTGATGAATGTTGATGGATAGTTTTTTCCAACAGAATATCAGTCAATGTTCCTCCTACGTCTTCTAAAGTATCCTCTGTGCATATTCGTTGACTTCTGCTGAATAAGCACCTTACTAAAGTTCACTTGTACTGAACTGGACAAAAGCTATGGCAATTCAGATATTGCCCTGTCCATGTAGGTTTTCTGTAGATCGTTTTATGGATCCATCCTACCTTCGACCAATTAATGTATCCAGGAACGGTAAGTAGTCATCTTCCCCTCTAACACATGTCAAGGATATGCTGTTCCATTCTTCTTTCAGTCGGTTAAGAATTGAATAGACTGATTTGAGTTTTCACAAATGATCAGGATATCATCAACATATCTTCGATACAGATCGGTTTGGTCTATTAAGTTCTGGGCTAAGCTCAGTAGTTCGAAATGTGTTGCGCAAATACATTACACGGTTCAAACAGTTTACGTCTTCTTATTGTTTTATTGAAGTTTATAAAGGGAAGTAATTGTTTTAAATAGTTTTAAACAAATTTACTCTCACTGGGCTAAGTCAAGAAGTTGGGTAATACTTTTTTATTATACTCATTCAAAAGAAATCACTTGCAAATCACAAGTTCAGCTTCCTTATTTCTTGATTCCTATACTTTTATTATCAACCCAGAAATAGAAGTGGTCTAAATACTAGAAAAAATCGAACGTAACTCAGTAAACTTATGTACATTTCTGCACTAGGCGATTAGCCACCTCTATCGTGTGATGGCACAAAATTGCGGTGGTTACAACGATGTTTGACCCCCTGATTTACCACCCCTCATTAGTCTACTGGTACAGTTTCTGACCTCTGCAATCTGTGATACAGGTTCAGACTACTGAAAAAACAGCGCTTTCCTCATGGTTGTGAATATACATTCCTGGTGAGTGCAGAAAAGAATCCGGCCGCAGAACATTCTGACAATTTACCCTAACCCTAGCCAGTGACAGGTGAAAGTATTTCCCATACCTAACAGGTTGGTATTCATCATGGACTGACATCAGTTTGAGGAACATTGGAAACCTGGAGGCAATGGATAGGTTTTTCGCCCTAGTATGGAACTCCTCAGCAGTGAGCACCAATAGTCCCACCTCCTAGGGGTCTAACCTAAGACCTTCAGGTTTCGTGACCAACACGTTACCTTTGAGTCAGTGACAGAATTAAGAAGCTTCTATCATTGAAGTCCACCCCAGTGGTTCACAGGTTTGCACTATCTCTCCAACTACTGTCAATCCATGATGAATGCCAACATGAAGTTAATAAATCCCCACATACCACCAAATTGTAGAAAAAGAATCGACTGCACAATCTTCAAGTTCATAGTCAATTTGTTCTAAACATTCCAATCTCCTAGTAGAGAAATACAACGCAATTACAAATAATAAAGTTGTTGGAACTTCAGTGTATTTCAAGTTCTCATCAATTTGAAATAACCGGGGATAAATACATAGAAATGAGATCAGTGGGTAATAAGAATCATAATTAGTAATGTCTGCATATACCTAACATTTGTGTAACTTTGTGTGTGTGTGCGTGCAAGTTTTTCTACATTAATGAAGCGCTACAAAGCAAAGTTATACAAGCTGAAAAAAAGTTTATGAAGGCAATGCAAATTCGCCTTTTTGTTAGAATATAATTAAGATCTATTCTGTCGTATAACAACTGGATCTTGTTTTGATATCATCTTTCTTCCTTCACTTGATCTATTCCGATTTATGGATTGATGATTGATAGCCTCTAAATAACAAGGTAAATATTGACCAGAAAATTGTGAATCATCATTCGATTGTGAATTAGGTTCCGGATGAAACATTGCGGGTATTGCTTTCACGTGAATATGTACACAATTATCATCCATTCCACGAATTTGCATATGTTCTACTGCCTTACGTAAATCCTTTGTATTTGTTAACACACAATGATGAAATCCATCTATAGATAAAATGTGAAATAGAGTATTCAGTAATAGTTTAGAATGGATATAAGGGTGAATAGTTAAACACATGTATGCGGTACTTATGAGAAAAAAAAGTTCTTGTCTAATGAAATCTGTACACTGTTATTCAACATACTATATCATTATCTTTTAGAGGTAACTTCTCTAAATATCTTTTTAGTTTAGAACTGATTACAGAGGGAAATTAAATCATGAATGAACAGTTATTGTTATCTTTTACTGAGTCAATTTCTCTAAAATAAACAAAATGATGGTGATAATCTATTGATAGGAATGAAAGATAACTGAACTCAAAAATAATCGAATCTAGTCCAAAAGATTGATATTTATATGTTGAATGGAAGTTATGATCTCCTACGACTTGAATATATCTGATCTTGTAGATGTTCAGTATTGTGTAGCTCCAGAATTAAACAAAGCGACCGTCCTGTAATCCAGTGTTTATCTACTTGATATCATTCTACAATGATCGAGGAAATCATACTAGGCATACGACTATACCTTACATCTACAGTTTTTAAGCTTTGACATAAAGTATGTAAAGAAACTGAAAGTGTTACCATGGGATCACCAATATCCCTTATCATCGCAGACATATTTATGGACAGTCAGCAATGGATGGGCTTTCAAGCATTTACTCCTACATCAAAGATATGGTTCCGATATGTAGATGATACGTTTACAATACTGATATAGGAACACATCAATAGGTTCTTGCCAAGTATAAATTCAGTAATAAATGCAATCCAATTCACCTGTGACTTCGAAAGTGAAGAAGGTGAGCTAGCAGTGTTGGATTGTAAGATTAAACGAAGGCGAGACAGAAGTATGGAGACTAGTGTCTATAGGAAACCTGCCAATTCCGATCTCTACTTGAACTTCAAATCCTCCTACCCCATTTCAGATGAAGTAGGCTTAGTTAAATGCTTAAGTGATAGGGTGAAAAAGCTTACCAGGAGACCAGAAAATCTACGACAATAAATAAGACACATCAAGGACACCCTACATCTCAATAATTACCCACCTACATTTATCAATGAAGTCATACGAAATCGAAAGAAAAATATTAGCAGTGGTAGTAGTAGTAGTAGTAACACAGGTGTTATTGATGATAATTCTACCACCAGTGTTAATAATGGTGACAGGATTGAGAGAGAATTCAAAGCGTCTACTGTGTTATCATACAAGGAGGGCACCTGAGAAGCATTGCGAAGAATTCTGAATAAAACTGACTGGGATTAAAGTGGCATTTAAATCAACAAACTGACTTAGAAACAAACTTTGTAGGTTAGAAGATCTTATCGATGCGATTAAGCAAAATAATCTGGTTTACCAGGTCCCTTACAATGATTGTGAGGTCAAGTATATAGGTATAAGCAGTCAACTAGCCAGGGTCGATTAGAATAATAGAACACAAAAACTTAGCTTAATCAAGATTATTAGGTAAGAATCCCGGTCGGAACAACACCACTCACTGCGGTGCAGGTACATACAGCTGACGACTCCCACATAGGATGAAACGCGCATCCTGGATTTTTCTGCTAGCCCCAAGCAACCTAATTATCATAGTTGTCATTCAGGCAATATCGAAGCATCCGCATAGGAGCCCATATGCCAATAGAGGTCGAACAATTGGATCCAGCAAAACAACGGAGAATAACAAATATGTCAATAAATAGTTACTTTTATAAACTGATGCTGAAAGCCACCAAAGAAACTCTCTAAGGTTGAATTACTCTGGTATTCATTAGTGGCCTGTTTTGAGATGAGATTTCCGAAGTTCTAATGAGAAATGGTGATCGGTAAGGTCAACCAAGTCGGATATGAGGACAGTTACTCCACGATACCATTAACGGAGGTCGCACTACTGGATTTCGACCCAGTGGCCCAGTGGCAACGTTCTGGCGGCGGAACCTTAAGGTCCTAGGTTCAAACTCTTGCTGCATTGACGAAGAAACTGTCCACTGCTCACAGGTTTCTAATGTTCTTCCAAGTACTGTCAGTCCATGATAAATACAAACCTAAAATCAAGCAATCGATCCTCGAAGCCACCAAAATTTCTTTAAGATTTGTAACCAGTTGATGAGAGATCATGAAATAAAGTAGATGTATACTATAATCCTTAAAGAGTTGTTCTCATTCAACTTAAATTCTCCCAAAGAGGAAGAATTGTGAATAATTTCTAATGAATAGCCATTTTTTGAACTACATATAGTGAAAAGGTCGAAATACTCTATTCAATTTCCTTCAACTAGATGTTAGATAAGGAAATATTACAGGGGTGAATAAAAACAGATAAAGTTCATTTATGTTCCACTACAACCACTATTAGATTTTGAGTGAAAATTACAAACCTTTTTCGAGAAATTAATTTACATAAAACAAATCATTGGATTTGAAAAGAACACTTAATGTCCTTGACCTGAATACTAAAAAACTGTTTCACTTTAGAGGATGTCGAAGTTTGGAGATCTATTAATCTAGAGGTTTATGAAGCTCCAATTAAAATACTTAAATCATTTTCTTCTGTGAAGCAACGTACATCAGCTTTACCCAGGAAATATTGTCAACATGTCTACGAGAACATATCTCATCCTGGATTTTTAAGAATGAATCGATTCCAACCATTTAACCGACCTAAACAATAATTTTACGGTTATCTATCAAATTCGCTAAATCATCTCATGGTTTCTTCAACTTTAACTTCGTTCAATAAACACCAAAAATCTTGGTTACTAATACAGTGAAACCTGACCTTTAAGGAGCAAAAGCGTTACGTATAATTTTTGTCTGTACTATGACCTTGACCTGACTTCACCTTGGTTTATTTAGTTTTGTTTCGGCTTCTCTAATTATCAGATTTAGTCAGATTGTCATTTTTACATTGAATAGTTCCCGGTATTATTTCATTTTGTCTCAATTAACTTATTGTCTCATTCACATTACCTGATCGTTTGGTTTTCTATTATCTCTTTCATATTTTCACTCCATCTTAATCTATTTGCATACTATGAACAATTCAGTAGTCTTATGTAACCTTTACGTCATCAACAAGCAACCCTACTATATTTATAATCACCATTATTGCTTATATTAATCTCGCATTATTCAGCTTTAATTCTTCTCAGAGGGTTACTGTTTTTATATATCATTATCTATACAAGTGTACAGCTTAGAGTGTAATTCTGTTCACTAAGAGAGCAGCGACAAGTATTCAGTAAACTATGAGATAAGCTTATGCGGATAATTTGATTCTGTCTATCTCTTAACCAAAGGTGTCACTTCAAATCTACAAAGCATAAACTCAGAAATCCTGTTAGACAGTCTTGAAATATCTGACTTGAAATATTTTCACACTCATCCCCACATTTCTAGGTTTATTGTGAAGATTTGGATTCAATTCGTTTTCTATTGATTTATTAGATGTATCACACAATGAAAAGACACTTCTACAACACATTGGCAAGTGAAGCAAAATAGGTTGCTGGTAGGAAAGACCTGACAACATTGTATCTACAGGCGAAGAGGCAGAAGAGATAGGGCAGCGAAGACGGGACTTCGAGTCAGTGTAGAGAAGTTGGAGATGATGAAGACAGCCAACCAACGTCATCATCAGCAACAACAACAAGCTCCAATCAACATCAACGGGAGAAACTTAAAGGAACTAGCCTCTTTCACCTATCTGGGCAGCATCGTTCCAACTACAGGTGGCACAGGCACTGATGAGGACGTCAAAGCAGCCAGGATCGGGAAGACAGCAAGACAGGCTTTCACTAATCCGAAATAATCAGTGTGGAGATGTACTGCATTGTTCTCAGCATAAAGCGAGAACAACATCTAGATTTTCAACACCAAGTCAGTCAAGTCAGTGCTGCTATCTGATGGTTCACAAACTTGGCTTGTCACGAAAAGCATTTCCAACAAACTACTCACATACATCATCAACAGCTGCCACCTACACTCACTCGATACTGACAGTGAAGATCAGATGGCCAGAATAATTGGAATAAGGAAGAAGGGACTCACTCTGGCAACGAACCAACGAAGAAGGTATCGGTGAACAAATATGCAGTAGAGAGTGGAGAGTGATTGGTCATACACTGAGAAGGCCGAATAGGGACATGACACACGAATGGGGGAACGATGAGTTTGGTGTGTGAGGCGAGGGTGACATGGAGGAGATCTTGTGAGGAAGAAAGGAAAGCATCTGAGCAATCACTGAGCGATGTTCAAAAGACTGGAGAAAAGAGAGTGTAATGGAGGCGTGCTAGTGAAGTCCTATCTTCCACTAGGAACCGGACGGAAATATTATAATGGTAAGTAGGGCTGTAAATTATGTGAGGACACCAACGTGTACGAAAACTTCACAATCATGTTAAAAAACATCCAGTAATCCAATTTATATTGATTTATTGCATTTACCGCATAGTGGAGGAACAGTATTGTTTACTGGTTTACATTTCCAACATCATTTAATATCCATTGTCATATCAAGACACCTACACAACATTGAGATATCCTTGATATCGTTAGTCCTAATTTCCTTATCCCATTAGTGACATTTATGTTAAGATTTTCTGTATACTCGGAACACGTGCTGAGTCATTCCTGTTGGTGTATGCGTTATGTGATGGTTGATTAGATTATGAAACATTCAGTTATCAATCTCTTCTTCAACCTTGGTCTGTTAATCTTAGGGATTTTCACTCCGTCCCATCCTATTGTGCGCTAGTGTGTGTAGCCCCGGTCGACTACTTCCACGAACGTATTTGACCTGGCAATCGTTGCTAGGGCTTTGGTAAACTAAGTTATTCTAGTCAATTGGATCAATGGGATCTTTTAACCTACGAAGCGTGAAAGGTCGACCAAGGTTAATTAGGTTATCCGAGCACAAAACCTTAGATAGATCAAAATTGGTAGATCGTAGTAAGGTAAGGAATATAGAAAACAGCTCAGCCATGGCTATATATGTGAT